CAATTTTATTTAGTATAGCTGGAGCTTCCTTTTGAAATTTGTAATTGAGTTTCAATTTTATTTAGTATAGCTGGAGCTTCCTTTTGACATTTGTAATTGAGTTTCAATTTTATTTAGTATAGCTGGAGCTTCCTTTTGAAATGTGTAATTGAGTTTCAATTTTATTTAGTATAGCTGGAGCTTCCTTTTGAAAATTGTAATTGAGTTTCAGTTGTATTTAGTATAGCTGGAGCTTCCTTTTGACATTTGTAATTGAGTTTCAATTTTCTTTAGTATAGCTGGAGCTTTCATTTGACATTTGTAATGAGTTGCAATTTTATTTTATAATAGCTTGAGCTTTCCTTTTGAAAATTTGAAATGAGTTTCAATTTTATTTAGTATAGTCTGGAGCGTCCTTTTGACATTTGTAACTGAGTTCGAATTGTATTTAGTATAGCTGCGCTTCCCTTTGAAATTTGTAATTGAGTTTCAACTTTATTTAGTATAGCTGGAGCTTCCTTTTGAAATTTGTAATTGAGTTTCATTTTATTTAGTATAGCTTGAGCTTCCTTTGAATTTGTAATTGAGTTTCAATTTTATTTCGTATAGCTGGAGCTTCCTTTTGACATTTGTAATTGAGTTTCAATTTTATTTAGTATACGGAGCTTCCTTTTGACATTTGAGTAGTATAGCTGAGTTTCATTTGTAATGAGTTTCAATTTTAGTATAGCTGGAGCTTCCTTTTGACATTTGTAATTGAGTTTCAATTTTATTTAGTTGAGTTTCAATTTTCAATTTAGTATAGCTGGAGCTTCCTTTTGAATTTGTAATTGAGTTTCAATTTTATTTAGTATAGCTGGAGTTGTCCTTGAGGTTGACATTTGTAATTGAGTTTCAATTTTATTTAGTATAGCTGAGCTTCCTTTTGACATTTGTACTTGAGTTTCAATTTTATTTAGTATAGCTGGAGCTTCCTTTTGACATTTGTAATTGAGTTTCAATTTTATTTAGTTATAGCTGGAGCTTCCTTTTGACATTTGTAATTGAGTTTCAATTTTATTTAGTATAGCTGGAGCTTCCTTTTGACATTTGTACTGAGTTTTAATTTTTTTTTAGTATAGCTGGAGCTTCCTTTTGAAATTTGTAATTGAGTTTCAATTTAGTAATTTTATTTGTATTGAGTTTCAATTTCTTTAGTATAGCTGGAGCTTCCTTTTGACATTTGTAATTGAGTTTCAATTTTATTTAGTATAGCTGGAGCTTCCTTTTGACATTTGTAATTGAGTTTCAATTTTATTTAGTATAGCTGGAGCTTCCTTTTGACATTTGTAATTGAGTTTCAATTTTATTTAGTATAGCTGGAGCTTCCTTTTGATATTTCGTGGAGGGCCAGGCAAGAAGACTTTCTTCCAGGGGTGGGGAACTGAAGTACTAGCCCCTTTGCGGGTTTGATCGCGAACTGCTTTTAAGCCAGGTAAGAACCTTTTGGATTTTGGGAAAGCTGGACATTTTGGATTTGGGGGAGCTAAAGAAGTAGATAAAGATCCAAGGGCAAGGTGTTGGCTTGGCTATCTTTTATTGTCCTTTCTCTCCTTTCGCTTTTTTTTGTGGGCGAAAAAATGGGCGCGGGCGGCGGGTGTTGGTCTTTATTCCAGGGGCATGTCTTCATCTTTTCGGGCCCCCCATTGGTCTTTACGCGTGCATGTACTCATCGGACGTGTGGACCTTACCCCACGGACGCTCACACGGAGGGAAAAACTGCAGCCTTGCTGTCCCGCCACAGGCCACCCGCAATGAGACATGGATGGACCCCAAGGATTCTGACCTCTTAAAAACACGAAGCTTCTCAGCTGTCCCAGCTGTCCCAGCTGTCCCCTTAGGTTTTGAGGGTTTTAGGGGTTTAGGGTTTCTTACCTCTTAAAAAACACAACTTTTCAACTTTTTGGGTAACATGGGCTATATGTCTGTAAAAGGTGAGAGCTTCCCCAATCCTTGGAGTTTTAAGGGGTAAGGATCGCTTGGTCCCCGAAAAAAAAACCACCAGCTGGGACTCGGTTTTTCTCGGCTGCATCTCTCTCGCACCGATCGCAGGTGGCACCCTTTGCTTAGGTCCAAGGTGCTCCAGAAATCATTTCCACCGGTCCCCCAGCTAGGTGCCCTGTTTTACCGTTTCTTTTTTGGTTGAGAGGGTTCCCCTACTAAAATAGACGTCCTGAAAAAAGTTGGTACCAACTTATTCTAACCTTTCTACTGGAGGACCTAGAAACCCTGCGGAATGACTTAGGCTTCCCCAACGTAAACACCGTAGCGAACCTTATGGTTTCACTCCCGTGGTTTCTGAACGGTGGTGCAAGAAGCGGATTTTGCAACCGTCCGCAGTACACCCGAGAAAGTGCCAGTCCCAATTTGAGTCAGGCCCCCTGATTTGAGTCCCAATCGAACAATCGAAGACTCGAGGGGATGACGCAAGCTCAGACGATTGACCAAGCTTTTAGGCTCCCGAGAGGTGCTTCATCGGATGACTTGGGTGCTTTTTTGCGGCATCCAACCCCTCGCTTGGGTGAAGCCTTTTTAATATGCGCCAGCTTCGATTGGAATTCCTTTTGGCAAGGCTCTCTGGCCTCCGTGTTGCATTGGTTTTTGGGGTTGTAAAGGAGAGCCTAAAGGGAAGCCGTCCATTTGTTTTGAAGGCAGCCCAAGTGGGAAAAGTCTGAATCCGCCCTTTTTCTTGTTGACAGAAAAGCCATCAAACGAGATCCCCAATTCTTTGACATACTCCTGGTTGTTCGACTCATTTGCGCTGCCTGTTCAGTGGCTGTCAGATTCTCAACCTTCACAAAGACATAAGCCTTTCACGGCTGTTTTTTTTGTGTTTTTTCTCCGAGTGTCCCCAATCCGGGCTTCAAACCATGGAACCAACAAAAATCCAAACACCCGAAACAAAGACAAACATGTTAGGTGGCCCTGGCACCCCACAAGTGTCTACGCGCTGGTTGGATAGCTGTTGGATGGCCGGTGGCAAGCTCTGCCATGCGGTTCCAGACAGTCTTGTTTCCCCCGTTTTTTTTTAGTTGGTTTAGTGACTGGGTGTCCAAAAAAACAATAAGTTAAACTAGCTAAAGCAACAGAACAACTAACTAACAACGAACAACAACTGAAACCCAGCTAGCTAAAAGCTGAACCAACTAAACCAGTTGGAAAATAACTAACAACTAAAACAGACTTGCCAACTTTTTAGTTCTACTAAACCACGGGCCCACCTGACTCGAGAAAATGTTTTCGCATCTTAGAGGCGGCTCGTTGTTTGGCGTATTTTTCGACGCGAAGCGGAAAGCGCCCGCTTCACATTGCCAGTTCAAGCGGAAGTCCCTCAATGAACAGGTTTGTTGGTTCGTTGGGTTTGGAAGTTGGGTCGGGTTTGTTTGTTGGTTGGGTTGGGTTTGGAAGTTGGGTTGGGTTTGTTTGTTGGTTGGGTTTTGAAGTTGGGTTGGGTTTGTTTGTTGGTTGGGTTGGCTTGGGTTGGGTTGCATGGCCTTATGTTTCTCTTCAACACCAACCTAAGGTAGGTACCTGCTGGCTTTTTTTTTTTTTTAAACCACGCAGCTTGTCAGGGCCAAGAGGCAGTGCTTGGGTGTTTGATTCGCCAAGTGAGCGAGTGGTTGATCAACTAGTCTTTATATTATTGATTTTATCAAAGGAAGTTTAGTAAGAAAGCTTCCGTAATACGAACAGTTGATACTTCCGTCCACCGGCTTCGCCGGCTCTACTGGTATTATTGATTTTACTTGTAGAAGTATTTTTTAAAACACTATAAATAGCATGTTGATATGGTTCTGCGAATATAAAGGTAGAATAACCAACGAACAACCAGTTGCCAACTCCACATTTAGAACTGAGTAGGGTATACTACCCAGGTTACTAACCGCGTAGCGAATTGAACACCCAAAAACCGAGCAGCCCTCGTGCTACCAGAACCCTTCCTTGGCGCAAGTGCTCAGGGAGAACCAACAGGTCTCCTCCAAACGCATGTGCTGTATTTGGCGGTGGGTCAAAACCAATGGTACCATTTTGGGGTAGGTGCACCACCCATTTTAGTCTATGTTAGTGGGGATTGGGATATTCACCAAAAATACGACTTGGGTTTTGACCCACAGCCATTTCTGGCTAAACTAAGTTTTCTCAAGACTGGGGAGCGACTCCAGGTTTCCTTTTTGGTTTCCCTTAAGCATCCACACGAGGTCCGAGTCCGGTGAGACGCCCTTAACTGCTTTTTGTTTTCGATGGTGCCGGCTCTATGGGCTGATGGAGCCAATGTGTCATCCATTTCTCTGCAAGTTTGACAAGGAGCCGGCTTCACCGGAAGATGGCCTTATGCTTCATGTCTCAATTGCACGTGTTGCTTTTCACGGCCCTTTGAAAGCTGGCTGTTTGTTCGGCGAATGTCCAAACCAACCTCGTAACACCAAGAAAGTACCCAGGAGGGAAGGATCGCAGCAAACATGCTCGCAAGACTCAAGCAGCGCAACAAACACACACAAGCTAGTTGTTCCCACAACCTAAACCTAGGGCGAAATTCCCGCAGATGTTTCGTGGGTGTACGGGTATTGGCTACTCCAGCCGTTCGGACAGGAATTTCCTGTAGATCACCAGGCAGAGCCACCATGTAGGACACCTGGAGCCAACATCAACACAGGTGTCCAGTACCTGACCAAAATGCAAATCCAGGCAGGATGCTGTAATTTACCGGAGAAAAGGAATCTCCAAGGAAGCAACATCACGGAACTGGGGTATGATATGACCAAAAAAGAGGGTACCAACCAGGATTCCTTGCTCCCATTAAAAGGATGGCGAGGACCCAAGTTTGATGATGAGTTACTCCTAAACCGTACATCATGGTGCGTATCAAGTACCTAACGGTGGTCCATTTGTACCTTTATGGTTCGAAAAGCAGTGGTCCATTTGTACCACCCTAGGGTGCTGGATAAATAATCCCCTTTGTTTCAGCTGGTGACCTGCCTGAG